TGAAAAGAGTTCTTCTCAAGATATTAAACCTCTGATGAAAGGAGGACGTATATGCCTCTTCATTTTGTGGATGCAGGTGTTTCATGTAAATGTGAAGTTCCATTGCATCATGAGATTCATAATCTACCCAAGAATCAAGTTGTAGAAATACCATATTTTATCGATAAAGATGCAAGAAAAGTATTGAGCAACACCGTCTTGAGGGGAAGATAATTGATGAAACTCCTCCAAGACCTTAGGAAAGAGTTTAAGGAATATTTAAATAAAGATTCTCATAAAACTAAAGCCCCTCATAAATAAACCAAAGATATTATAGTATATAAAAGAAGAAGACATGAAGGACAACAAGAAGATATTTAAATGAACACTCTCGTAAAGTTGAAGACCCTCATACATCAGCCAAGGATATTATTGTGCATCAAAGAAGAAGGCGTGAAGGACAAGAAGAACACAAGCCCGTTGAAATTCAAGATCTCACTCAAAACCCATGCAGGTCTACCAAAACAAAGCATCCAATTGATCGATGGACATATAACACCTTAACCCGTTTCAAGTTTTTGTGTGAAATTTTAAGAATCAAATAGTCTAGAAGTTATCTTGAGGCAAGAAAATATAGATGATGGTTCAAGGCTATGGCAGAAGAGATTAAGGTTACATACATTAAGAAGACTCAGGTGATAGTACCTAGATGTGTAGATAAAAAAGTCGTGGGCGGCAGCAACTGGGCTTGTAAAATGAAGTACAAGTTAGAAGGAAGTGTGGAAAGATTTAAAGTGAGGCTGGTTGCAAAAGGTTTTAATCAACAACATGGACTTGATTATAATGAAACAGTTAGTCTTATTATTAAGATAGCAACAGTTCGGTTGGTTATTTCCCTTGCTTTAGCCTCTGGTTGGTCTCCATTTCAGTTGAATGTTAGGAATACTTTTTATGCATGGAAAGTTGGTTGAAGTGGAATACAAGGAAAAACCATGATTATAATGAAACAGTTAGTAGTATTATTAAGATAGCAACAGTTCTGTTGGTTATTACCCTTGCGCTAGCCTATGGTTGGTCTCTTTTTCAGTTGAATGTTAGGAATACCTTTTTTGCAAGGAAAGTTGGTTGAAGTGGTATACATGGAAAAACCACCAGGTTTTCATGAAGCGAATCTAGAGATTCCTGTTTGCAGGTTGGACAGATCTATATATGGTTAAAACAAACTCCAAGAATGCGGCTTTAGTGCTTTCACAATACACTAAAAGAAAGCGGTTTTACCAGGGCAGCATCAGATTATCCATTCTTTATTTGTCACAAGAAGGGAGGTGGTATTATTATGTTAATGACATTATAACCATTGGGGAGTTCTACACACTTGATTGATGGTTGTCAAGAAAACTTTGCATGATAGATTTATGAAGAAAGACTTAGGTCAGTTGAGAATTTGAGATACTCCCTGGGAATTGAGTAAATCGAAATGAGAATGAATTTGCTTGTCTCAACAAAAATACACTCTAGACCTTCTTGGAATGGAAAATATGACCCATTGCAGGCCATATTGTACACCAACTGCTCTAAACAAAAGATTAAGTATATCTGAAGGACAGGTTATAGATAATCTAGAGAGATACAAAAGTTTAGTAGGTGCATTACAATATCACACTCTCACAAGGCCTGATATATCATACATTGTTAACCAAGTGGGTCAATTTATGCATGCTCCCGCTGACACTCAAATGGAAGCACTAAAGAGAATAATCATATATGTAAAAGGAACAGTGAATCACGGGCTACTTGATGAGTGAAACAACATGAATAAAATGAATATTGCTTCAATAGTTGGGACTGTGATGCAGACAAGGTTGGAGATCCAAAGTCTAGAATATCAATTTCAGTTTGTTGTGTCTTTCTTGGTACAAATCTACTTTTATGGAGAAGTAAGAAGCAGAAACTTGTTGTGAGGTCAGTACTGAGGTTAAATAACAAGATCTTGAAAGTGTAGGTTTCTGAAATTTCATGGATCCGAAGTATTGTTTTTTTACATCGAACAAAAATATGCAAGTCAACAATTCACTATGACAAAGAGAACGCCCTAGCAGTTTCAACAAATCCAGTATTTCATTATCGAACAAGCAACATTCAAATAGATTGCCATTTTGTTCGTGACAAATATACATGTTCAAACATGATGTACAACTTGAGAGGGAGTGTTAGAATGCAATGAACGGCCGCTTGGTAATTTACATGTATTTTAAGTGGTTGATATTATAAAGTCATTTGCTGTATTGTAGAAGGGAAAATCTGTCCTTACTCAAGATGTAACATTGTCTATACTAGAATACAAGAATTAGGTTGTGTCCTAGTGTGTATTTTCATGGTAGAATAGTGTTTGCCTCTTTTTGTCTTCTTTATGTTTTTCATAATGAACTTTGAGTTGGTCCAAGTTTAACCGAAAATAGTTCAATAAAACAACTTACGAAGATATTTCGATCAATCACAACAAATTGTCGCAGTGCATCAGCTAAACGAGATGGAAACGAAACAGGGGCATAAAGAACTGGAAAATAAAATTCAATCATTAATTATATATGTATGTGTATGTATACCATGCAAAACCGGAAGAAATCAAATTGGTTCCAAAATGATGGGTTACACGTGGAAAATGTAACTCAACACATATCATGAAAGAACAGGGGATATAAAATAGTTGCAAAGCAATTGGATGGCAAGGACATGCAACCACCATAACTGTAGCAAAAAGTCACCTTAACCACATGACCCGGTACATGTTAACCGTAATATATAGTAAGAACTACCACCAAGAGTCACATACCATTGTTAAATGTGTCGTTTGGGAAAACATGTGTCTTTTGGGAAAGGGGCTGGGTCATGGTGGTAGCACCCCACACCCTAGTCACCACATTGTAATTTTCATTCCCACCACCAACACCACCTCATTGATACCTTCAGAAAGCTAACTCTTAACCTACTTTCAAAAATGGGTAGAGGCTGTCTTCCCCACTTAATTACCCAAAACTAAAAAAATAAAAAAATTGGGTGTTTTTGAGAAAAAGTTCCCAAGGCTGTATGAAGGCTTACTCGCTCTCCGAAATGCAACTAAGTTGTGTAAACAACAATTAAGGATTGATCGGAGGTTTAGCAAGTAAAAAGTGAAGAATTTTACCTAAACCTCAACAACCACCCCAATTCAGGCTGGGTGTGTAGGGGTTTTAAGCATGCACGCATATTTGAAGCATTCAAAATACCTCTTCCAAGACTCCACAGGGCTAAACAAACCTCGGACCTAAAACAAAAAAACTATCGACCAGCTTGTCTCAAATGACGTACTTAAGCATTCAAGCAGGGGTTAATAATTGTAACTTTGGCATGACATAAATTGAAAAATGAGACCCACGAGGCAAATATATTTTTCTTTGAAGCATATAAATCGAACTTAATTTTAGAAAATAGTTTTGGTAAAATTGTCAAAAAAATTGTATTGGGTCGGTAGGGGTATTTCGAGGTACAAGTAAAGACATGCGTAAAAAAGAAAGTATGAAAAAAGATAGGTGCCATGACATATATTTAAGAAAAACGTTTATATAAGTGCGAGGCTCTAAACAATCAAATCAGGGCACACCTCAAATTGATCATCTCGACCTCAAGATACATGGACATAAGAAAAATAGATTTGAAGTTTGAAAAATAGTGCATCTTGTAATGTATTTTTGGGCTGTTAATTTTCAAGATTCTCAAGTTTTCATAGGATTTACACTATTTTTAAAGCTTTAAATTTTTTAATGAAAATATATTTTAAGGCTATCAAAAAGATTTTCAATATTGAAACCTCATTTCTCCACACTATTTGAAGGTGTGGTTTACATTGATTATTTAGAGCCTCGGCTCTACACAAACCATTATTTGAAAAATTGTCCGACCTAACTGCTAACCGCCCAGTTAGATCGGAACTGGCCCCTTGCCGGTTCCAGCTTCAAGCGGTTTTGGTGATCAACCGGTATTTTAAAAATAAAAATTCAAAAAAATATCTATAAAATCCTGAATTTTATTTGTAATACATTTTTAAATATTTTTTACACTATAGTAAATATTAAAAATTGTTTTGGTCATTAATACTCACTTTTAAAATCGATTTTTTCATTAATTTTCAACTTCATTTGAATGTTTAATCATTCTTTACGTACTTTCCATATTTTAGTACATTTTTTTTTTATCTTTTTTCATTTTTTCAATATTTTTTTTTTGCTGCCCGCGACTTGCTTGAATAGAATGGTTGAATCCGCACATCAGGCCGCCCTCAGGTTAACCGGTTCTATTTTGCGAAGATAATACAAACCGTACGCCCGTTATTTACCCTATATTTAATGCTATGTAACCACAGATAGAAAAATATTTTAATAGGGTCGTAGGCCAATCTAGCGCTGCAGCCTCCTCACCGTCTATTAATTTGGACGGTGACGATCCTTTAATAGGTGTACAGTTTACTCCTGCTGGAGCATAGCATGTGTGCTCTTATGGAAAAGAAAGGGTAAAGTGGACTAAAAAGAACATGAAAGCCGTGACTCCCAATGAACGGCCCAGATTTAGCAAATTCCCCGTTCCCCTCCACGTAACCGGAGCGTCTCTTATCTGATGTGTCTCCACTATGACAGGCCTCGCCCTTATATGCTAATAATTACAAATGGACGGTCAAGATTTTCCACAGGACGCCGGCCAGCCGCCTCTTAAAAATCCCTAAACCCTACCCACTAAAATATGAGAAAAGGAAAAGTAGCACCAACTCAGATATTAGATGGACGGTGTCCATGAATCCTATGGAGACGCAGATCCAGATCATACAAAGATTCAGACACCTTTCCGATTCCCACATCACACTGGAAATGAAAATGAATGATTGAATGGAATCACAGGGGAACTTTTAATCAACTTTTTAATCCCTTATTTTCCTTGATCCACCAGAAAATCGCTACAAAAATATCAGAGAGAGAGAGAGAGAAAGATACCTGGTATCGGTGATAAAGAAAAGGTCCATGACATTGCCATCTGGGGTAGTCGAAACCTTTACCCTTTTGATTGTGAGCTCCAATTCGCAAAGCACCTCAGTTACATCTGCGTCACAATATAACAAAACAAAAAAATTCCTGAATCTCGAAAAATCCTGTTTATCAGAGAGTAGTAGTGGTACTGATTGCGATTATGATTATGATTATGATTAAGAGATACCGTGTAGAAGGCCACTTCGATTGGGAGAAGAGAACTTGAGCAAATAGACCTGAGGTGGCTTAGGGCTTGCTTCAAGCGATGGTGAGCAATAAAGTGAGGCGGCAGAGGAACAAGAAGGACACGCCGAGATCAACCGCTTCTTCAAATTGCTCCACCTCACCGCGTGCCCTGGCCTCGACACCACCCATAACACTATATAGCACCACTTGCCATCTGTCGAAATATCTGTGCCAAACAGAAATAGACAGAGATTTCAATTCTTCTTCTATGTTGTTGTTAGGTTTGTTTGAGAAATTGGTATTGCTAACCTCCTCTGACGATGCTGAGAGAAAATTGCAAGATTATGCGGCAGAGGTCGCAGCCGAGGCCGGTCTTGTCGGGGCAGTTAACAGTGACGATGGTGGGATCTCCTTCGTTTTGTGCGTGCCTGATTAGTACTACGTCGTCACAAGTGATACCCATCCCTTCTCACTTTTTCTTGGAATTTGCCTTTGCTTGAAATCTGAAGAAGCATCGTAAGTGAAATACGAGAATTACTACTCTGCTCTTCTTTCTCTCTCTGTAAAACCTGAGAAAAAAAGAGGGATTCTTGGGCCTTAGAAGTGGACATATGATGAAATTTTAGAGGGGTGCAGAGTGGGAGAGGGTTTAGAATTGAGAGAGATGATTTTGACGCCCCCTTAGAGGCATAATTGACGGTGGTGATTCCTGCCACGTGGCACTTTCTATGGCGAGTTTCATCACGTGCCTCACGAAAGCTGAGCATCCAACAACCCTACTTATCTCTCTCCCTCCTTTCAAGTAACCACCTTACCCATCAGCCTCTTCTCCCAATTTTTTCTAAGCCTTCACTGCTGATTCAAATAAATAAATAAATAAAATTGTCTTATGCGGGCTTCTATATCAAAAACGGATGCGGGTAAGTGTTCTATCTAAAAATAATGAAAACAAATGGTCCAAATAGTTTTTTATTAGATTTATTATTTTTAATTTTTAAAATTTATTTATTTTCTCATATTTATGATCTCGATATTAGAGATTACATGTCTTTAAAAATTAAGTGACATGTATTTCTACCTATGAGGGCTTGACCCATTATTCACAAAATCACCCAATCTAACCGCTAACCTCCTTGTTAGATAGGAACTGATAAGTGGCCGGTTTCGATTTTGAGCGGTTAGGGTGATTAACCGATATTTTAAAAAATATTTCAAAGACAATATATATAAATTCTCAAAAATAAAGAATTTGATTTGTAATGCATTTTTAAATATTCTTTACATTATGGTAAAAATAAAAAATTGTCTTGGTCATTAATACTCACTTTTATAATTTTTCTATTTTTTTTAAAAAGTTTTAAAAATAGACATTGAAAAATATAAAATGGGTTAAAATCCATTTTTTTCATTAATTTTCAACTTCATTTGAATGTGTTTAGTTTTAATCATTCTTTTCATAGTTTAGTTTTTTTTTGTATTTTTTTATTTTTTTATAATATTTTTTTTACTACCCAAAACTTGTCATGTTAGAGCGGATGTTAGAGCGGTTGAATCGACTGGTTAATTCGGTTAAAGCGTTTCCAAATCTATATCCCGTTAGTCGTTTGGATTCGATTTTGTGAACATTGACTTGACCGCATAAAAACCGGGTGAAATAAAAAACATCCTTTTTCTCTCAGTCGCCTCTCCTCTACCGACCAAAACATTTCCCTGTCAACAACCGATCTTCCCATATATCTACGCAGCCTTAAAAGTAAAACGGTGAGGTAGTATGACGTTGACACCTCATACTATTGAGGTAAGATATACCTCAAAACTATGTTGAAAATACAGTTTTGGTATTACAAAACCTTGCAATGATATGAAAATATATTGTTGCCATCCATTATGAAATTTAGAGTATAAAAAATGGTTATAATCAAGCAGATCTATAAAACACTTGAAAATCTTGAAAATGGACCTTGACTAGAAATCGCACTTTTCATGTCTATGAATATCAAGGTTGAGATGATCAATTTTAGGGTTTTCCAAAATCGTAACAACTTTCTCTAATAGATTTTTTAAAAAAAATTTTAAAATTAAATAGAAAAATGCCCCATATACAAACCCCTCTTTCATCATTCACCATTCACCAAACAAAATACCTATTCACACTCCTCAATCAGATAATTATTTATTTTATTTTTATTATTATTTTATTAAGATATGGTAGTAATAATACCAATTAATATCCTATAAAATAAATTTCTCGCGACACTTTAAGCACAATAAAGATTCGATGATAACATGTTTTTCATGTATGTAATATATAAGGTTCTTAGATATTATGCATTGCTTGTGCAAGTACCCGTGCATTGCTCGAGATCAGGTTTTGGCTTATGTCCTGCTAAAGCCTAGTTATCCCACACAGTTGTCACAGAAACACTCAGAAATACTCGAGCTCACAAAAATATTTAAAAATAGACAATAATACTAAAAAATTATATATGCCTTAGCTCACACAACCACGAGGTATACTCATATCGTCCTTAACTATAAGAAACCCTCAAACCTCACAGCTGAAAATCTCTTAAGCATTTAGCCCTCATGATTCGGGGTTTTATGTCTCTCCAATTCTCAATTTGCTAGGATTAGGCATGACAAAAAGTACTTATTCACTATCATTGTGACCAAAAACTGCCACGAAGTGTTGGGAACAAAGCATTGAAGGGTCATAATTCGAACATCACAAAGAGATCTCTCCCATGGCATCTTTCTCTCTCACACAAGCTCGTACGAGGATCTCTCTCACCCACATGCATCTCTGCCAATTTAGCATGTATGTCCCTCTATGGGCCATCTCTCGGACACCACAAGAATCTCTAACCCACAAGCATCTCTCCCTCCCTAAGCTTTCTCTCTCAGACACCTCTCTTAGGCAAGACAGATGAAAAAGCAGGTAAGATTTTCCCTCCTTTTAGAAAGAGGGAGAAAAATGAAAAAAGGGACAAAAAATTCACCCACTGAGAGAGAGACTGCTTAAGATTATTTATTTTTATATGTTGGACGCTACTTGGGCGAGGCCTCTTGGACTTGTGCAAGTGACTCGCCTCGAGCTACGGGCAAGTCCATTGTCCCTCGCCTCGAGCTACGGGCAAGTCCATTGTCCAAGCCAAGTTTCCAAATATTGGTAATATTATATGTATTAGATGTGGTGGATTTCTCCATTGGGCTAAGTTTCCAAATATTGGTAATATTATATGTATTAGATGTGGTGGATTTTTCCTTTTTTTTTTTTTGTCCTAAATTCAAATAAAATGTATAAATTATTTTTTTACTAAAATTAACCTTCTTTCCCCCTTTTTAAAGGGTGTGGTTTGTATAAAGCTGAGGCTCTAAGCATGTCGAAAAATGTGGCTTCAATATGGAAATCTTTAATTAGATTGAAAATATATTTTCATCTTTAATTATAAAATTTAAAGTTTCAAAAATAACGTAGATCGAGCAGATCTATGAAAACTTGAATAAATTAAAAATTGACGGTCCAAAAATGCGTTACAAAATGCACTATTTTCAAGATGTGAAATCCACTTTTTTCTCAAGTCTATGCATCTTGATATCAAGTTGATCAATTTAAGAATATTTGAGCATCAAAACAATCTCTTTTAGTAAAAGTTATAAGATACGCTTTAATTTGATTGTTTAAAACGTAGGCTCTCTATAAACTTTTTCCCTTTAGGGTTAAATGACCAAAGTAGTGCAAATTTCCATTATCCTCTTTTTGCGAGTAACAAAAGTCATAGACCCAAAATACACCCTTTGAACAAAAACTCTAGATAATGGAGGTAGGATTGGGATATAGCTATGGTGTGCTGGTCTCTCACACTACTCTTCTCTCTTTCTCTCTCTAAAATTCAGAAGCACCTTGGCCCCAAAAAAAAAAAATTGCAATCTTGCCCTTACAAGGGACTCCCCGTATCTATTGCAAACTCATATTAGCCCTTAGCTTTTTCTAATTCTCTCCACCATTTTCTTCCTAAAATGTCGTGCATTGCACTACACTAAGCATCAAGCGAGGTATCGACAAAGATATTGTTACCCTATTGATGTGCGTGCCGACTCCATTTTCAAGCTCAAGATGGGCATACCTGGTTTCGGTGAGCACGCTTTGTACTTTTTTTTTTTTTTTTTTGAGAAAATCACAAAAGAAACCCAAGACGACACTTTCTATGTAACTTACCTTTAATCTAATTTTTCTCTCACTTTTTTTTCTAAAACAATCTTTCTATGTAAATATCCCTCAAGGGAAAAAGTTTTTTTTTTTTAGACGAAAATACCTTTCTTGTACATAAAAATCATTTTGGCCAGATTTGATGTTGCCTTTTGGACCCCAGTAGCACGTTGCTGGAGTGCACCATCACATTGCCGAAGCGCACAAGTGTCGGACCACCCTAAGACAATTACCGGATCGAAACTGAGTGTTGATGGACTGCCCATTACATACTACCGGAGCTCTGGAATCCAATAACATCTACTGCCGGACCACCTTTTGCAACTGCCAGACCACCTTTTGCAACTAGCAAACGGCACTTTACACAATGCCGGAGCCCTATTGCCAAACCATACTTTACACAGTGCTGAAGCCCTATTGTCGGACAACACTTTACACGGTACCGAAGCCCCTATTTTGGTGGGATAGAGGAAAGAGATGCGTGGGTAAGGTAAATGTAAGGGAAGGTAGTTTAAGGCCAATTTGGATGTCAAATAAAATAAAATTCTTATCCAATAAAATTATTGTTTTTCAAATACCAATTACAAAAAGTACCAATCCATTTTTCTTTTCTTATAAAGCCATTTGGGTGTTAAAGTTTATTTTGAAAGAAAGACTAATGCAACCTTGTTGAGGGATATTTTTTTTTTTTTTCCTTCTTTTCACCCCTTTTTTTTTTTTTCTTTTTCTTTTCTTTTGGCAAAGATCACTTATAAGTAGTCTTATTACAATAATTCGTGCTTCAAAGAAAATAAAACTAACAAATCCAATATCTTAAAAATTTTGATGCCAATAAACCAATTTTCTTTAAATAAAGAAAATATCAACAATTCTTATGCTTGATAATATAAAGACAATATAATTAAATATGACAAGAAATAAAAAAAAAAGTGTCAGAGATTACCTCGACCGGGCTTATTACACGCCACACCAAGCCATCACCATCCAATGGTGCGGGATCAACGATCAATCTTCAATCTCAACCGGGAAAGCAAGTTTAGGCCAAGCCCTCTAATGGAACTATGAACTCATTTATTACAAATCTCAAATCCTTAGGTGAATCCCCTTAGTGACCTAGTTTGAGAGAAATATTTCTCTTTTCTACCACTGCCCTATAGTTTAAAACCCCAATGAGAGATGAGAGATGAGAGATCAAGAGAGGCTTGAGAGACCACCATGAGAGAGATATCAAAGATGAGAGAGTAGGGAGTGCCCCTTTGTATCTCTTGAGGGAGAGAGAGAAACTTTCTTAAGATAAAGAGAGAAAATCTAAGTGGGTTGTGCCCCTTTGTGGGTGTAGACAGCCCTCTTGAAATTCTGGTTAAGGGAACTCCTAAAAATCTCAATGCTCGTCCTAAATGACCATACAAACTTTAGTAGACCATAGACAACTTAGACCCAATTTCAACACTCCAAAATTACCAAAATCCTATCTCAAATTGAAGTAGAGCCTGAGATCTTTCCAACGGTCCAAGAATCGCCTAAATCGAACCTACGGATAAAAAGATATAATAAATGATAA